CATCTCCAGACCCTCACTGTGGATCAGCTGGCCAAGAAGGAGGTCATCCATCTCAGGTAACAGGATCTGGTAAATACCAGAGAAGGTCAGCATATGGTGTGGGATGCAGTGTGTGGGTGTCCTGTGTGGGGTGTGTGTCTGTGTGTGTCTGTGTGTGTGTGTGTGTATGAGTGTGAGGGATGTGGTGTGTGGGTGTCCTGTGTGGAATGCGTGTGTAAGCGGTGTGGATGTGTGGTATATGTGTGATGTGATGTGTGTGTGGGGGGATGTACGTTTCCTAGAGATTATACACTCTATGTTTTAGACATCACGTATGTATTTGGGCAATTCCCTAATACATAACTTCCGTTTTATGAACAACATTCCTCAAATCATAGTTGTTACATGGATTGAACCAACTAATGCTTGTGGAGAACTGGGCACAGCATCTGGTGCACAAGTGCTCAATGAACAGCAGCTGTGATCACTATCCTCTCCAATCCTCACCTCACAACAGCCCTCGGAGCAGATACTCTCATTATCCCTGCCTTCAAATCAGGAAATCAAAGCTCAGAGACATAAAATAACAGGCCCAAGGAACATGGCCACTAAGACGTAGAGAACTCTGCCTGAGTCGAAAGCCTGCAGCCTCTGCCCCTCCTCCCTGGAGAGCAGGGCCCACGTTGCACAGGCGGGACTGAGCCAAGTCACCTGCTGAGTGTCCGTGGTGGGCTGGGATGAACACCCTGTCCCCATTCCCAGCCCACTGACCTGGCTTCACCTCACAGATTCTCTCATGACAGACTAGGGTGTCACTCCTTCTCAAACCATCAAGGAATGTCGAGGGTGATGTATTTCTTTTAATGAGGAAAAAACTGCTCTATTTATGAAGTCTGACTCTTACACATTTAAAAATTACTCATCATGAACCCAAGATGACATCTGACACAAGGATTCATCTAGAACGAATTTGGGCCGATGCCGTCTATAGGGTAGAGACCAAACTTTAAACTGTAGGCTATTGTGTCAGAACATGTGGAAAATCATCACCATGATAATGGGAGTTTCCAGGAGAAGCAGGAAGAACACACACACATATACACATACACAGGTCTTGCAAGTGGACCTGGGATCAGAATCTGGCTCTATCATTTCCTTACTAAATGTGTGACTTTGGCCATGTTATGTATCCTTTCTTAGCCTTGGTTTCTTTATTGGTAAAGTTCTAGGACTGAGAGGGAATTAAATGAAAATAAGTGTTTAGTGCTTGGCTCCCAGAGACATCAAAAAATGACTACTACTTGTCATCACTCAATACCAACGTCTGGTGCCGACAACTATTTCCCGGCCCTCTAAGAGCTGGAAGAATAGGGTTCGACACTGACATTCCAAGTTGACCTGCAGGCCATCCAGGTGGCCAGGGTAGAGGCCTCCTTGGGGACACCCTCCCCCCAGAATAGAAAGATCAGAGAGCCTCAGAAAGGGAATTCTCCCCAAGACAAAGCAAGAAGAGAAGGGCCTCGGGGTCCTGAGTGTCTCAGTTGGTTAAGCGTCTGACTTCAGTTCAGGTCATGATCTCACGGCTCATGAGTTTGAGCCCCACATCGTGCTCTGTGCTGATGGCTCAGAGCCCGGAGCCTGCTTTGGATTTTGTGTCTTCTTCTCTCTCTCTGCCCTTCCCCTGCTCTCTCTCTCTCTGTCTCAAAAATAAACATTAAAAATTAATTAATTAAAAATTTAAAAAATAAAAAAGAGCTCATAGATACAGAGAACAGATTGGTGGTTGCCAGAACCAGGGGACGGGGGTGGACAAAATAAATGAAGGGAGTCAAAAGGTACAAATTTACAGTTTTAAAAGAAATACGTCATAGGAATATAAGGTACAGCATGGTGACTATAATTAATAACATTATATTGCATATTTGAAAATTGCACAGAGAATAAATCTTAAAAGCTTTTATCACAAGAAAAAAATTGTAACTAGTGTGGTGATGGGTGTTATTAACTAGACTTATGTGGTGATCATTTTGCAATATATACAAGTATCGAATCACTATGTTTTATACTAAAAGTAATATAATGTCATATAGTCAATTATACCTCAGTAAAAAAAAATACATGAATAAATGCCTTATTTGATGGATTAACTAAAGTTAGATTTATGTTGGATTGATGGACTGCACAAAATTAATATTGGGCAACAGTAATATATACATAAGAAATGTAAGTATACATTTAAGAGTTATATTAAGTGTTGACATATTACATATGTAACACATATTTACTGGAAATAGGATAAAGATAACAGCATAGTAAACACTAAATAGTTAAACATTATGAGGATGCTATTAAATTATTTTAGGATAACCACTAAAAGGCTAATAGAGAGTATAAGATCAAATCAGTAGATGGAAAAAATTAAATAAAAAAATGAAAATTCTAATAATTCAAAAGAAAACAAGAAAAAGATCAAAAGAAAAAGTGGGACAAATAGAAAATACAAAATAACAAAGTAGCAATAATTTCAAACATGTTAATAATTATAAAAATATAAACAGAGCACATGCTTCAGTAACCAAAAAGTATCACACTGGGTTAAATGACAAAATAAAGCAAAAACAAAAATAGCTCTCTACAAAAAGCACACCTAAAACATCAGGACACAGAAACCTTAAAACTAAGGAATTTTTTTAAAGAAAATTCCGGGCACACACTAACCAAAAGAAAGCTGATATAGCCTTATTAGTATTAGAAAAAGTTGTTCTTATGACAAAATGTACTATTGGAGATAAAGAAGGCCACCATATGAGGTAAAAAATTTTGATTCCACGAGATGATATAAAAATTGTAAATATGTGAGATTCAAATAGCCTCAGATATATGTAAGGTAAAAATTAACAGAAATTAACAAATCTATGAATATAATGAAAAATATTTCACATATCTTAGCAACTGATATTGTCAAACAGATTAAATGATCTGAAAATCTGAAGAAGACCCTTGACCAGTTTGATCTAAAGGACATAAATAGAACATTGACTCTAACAACTGGAAAATATTCATTCTTTTCAAGCACACATGGAACAGTTAGGAAGATTTATCACACTGGAGGCCGCAAAGTCAAGCTCAACTACTTTCAAAGAATTACCATCAAACAGTCCACCATCTCTCATGATGATAAAATTAGAAATTAGCAAGGAAAGAAAATGACCAAAAACACTCTGTAACTTTGGAAATCCACAAATCAAACAAGATTCAAGAAGGAAACTCTAAGTCACAAAGGAAATGGAAACATTTAGGACTAAATAACATTGAAAGTGCCACATAAGGAAACTTGCACCTTACAGCTAAAGTAAAGGACAGAGACATTTGCATTTTGCATTTAAAAAGAGGACTGAAAATTGGTCTCCTAATCAATTAAATTAAGAGGAATACCAGAATAAACCAAAGCAAAGAAGACATAATAAGAATGAACAAACGAAGACAGAAATAGAAAATTTATGCATGAGAGATGGGAAAAGCTGAAAGTTGCTTCATGGGACACACAAATAAATAAACCCCCTGTCAAGAATGTTGGGGGGTGGGGGTGGGGGGGAAAGAAAGGACACAAACAATCCTGTCAGGAACCAAAAGTTAAAAAAGGATATTAGGAACAGCCTTATGTCAGTAAATTGAAACTTAGATGGAATGGGAAAATGAACTTTAAAAATGGCTAAGAATGATTCAAGAAGAAATCTGAATTTATCCTCACAAAAATAAATCTTAACAAGAAAACATCAGGCTTATGAGGGTTTTACTGGCAGACTCTATCACAAAGCTAAGGAATAGAAATCGTAACCTATGTTACTATTACTTCCAGAGAATAGAAGAGTCAACACTGACCAACTCGCGTTATGAGGTTACCGCAAACTTTATCATAAAAACAGTCAAGAAAAGAGCATGGAAGGAAAAGCTTTTTCAGGAGCAAAAGTCCTTATAAAAAATTAGCAAATCGAAGCCAGCAATAAATGTATCATGAGCAAGTTGGTATCTGCATGAATGCAAGATTAGGAAACCAATTAATTTAGCATGTTAGCTGATGAAACGAGAACAATCATATGATTATCTCCGTAGAGATCTGGCATCCTTCCCCCTCACCACCAGCCCTCCACACTGAAATCTGACCAATCCAACATATTTGGATTAAAATGTGCAGTGTCTTTCAGAAGGGTGTCCCGTGGCAGTCAATGTAAGATGGCTTGGAGAGGTGGTAGGCAGGAGAGTTTCTTGCAATATTAATTTATGTTTTGTCCTTGCTCCCTGGGGAGAACCCAAAAGATAACCAACTACTGCTGTTGTGCTCTTTCATTTGTTTTCCCTGCCCCCCCTAAGGAAGGAGGGGTGTTCTTTGCTCTTCCTTGCTTTAGTGGAAGTCTGTCTTACAGGAATGAAAGTCTGGAGTCATGGAGGAGATGGGCCTGTGAAGTAAGAGGAGATCATCGTCTTTGTTACAGGAAGTGGAAGCAATGTGAAAGACCAGGAAGAACCAGGGATGGGGAAGTACGCTGTGGTCATCCTGTAAGTCAAAGGACCTCCTCCCACACCCTGGCAGTGCAGGGGCAAGGGTGAGGGCAGCGGGTAAGATAAGGCCCCCCAAAGGCTGCCCAGCACACCATGGAGGCCAGGCAGGCACCAAGGCTCCCAGGAGCAGCAGCAAGGATGCCGAAGCAGAAAGTGAGATTATCGGCAGAGTTCTGCCCTCCGTTTCCAAGATCTGGTAAGCCCCCTGGTTCTCGTGCAACTCAAAAGCAGCCTCCAACCATCTGTTGATTGACTCAGATTGGTTTTCTGCCTGCTCCCAAAGGCAGAGGAGACTGGAGCCAAAGTTAACTTGAGTTAAAAAAAAAAAAAAAAAAAAAGTCACGTGACGTTTTTGCACACCTAGTTTGCAGTCAAGGCTTGCTACCCACCACCCATGCACAGGATATTTGGAGACAGATACACTGATGACCCGATTACGGAAGTGGGCAGCAAAGCTCTACCTCTCCTCCAGGTCTGGCCACAGCTTGAAGTTGCCTTGGGGGTCACTGCCAGCGTCTTCCTTCTGGGCATGCGGAGCTGGGTCTTGCCCAGCCCTCGGGGGCTCCTTCAGGTCTCTGCGCAGGTGGAGGGTGCCACCGGCCATGCTGTCCAGAAAGCTGAGGATCTGGAGGCAGCTCTGTATCTTGGGTGGGAATGGGCTGGCAGAGGCAAAGGCCGCACTCAGGAAGTCAGCAAATGGCCTGGCCTTTGTGTCTGCCTCCGAGTGCAGAGGGGCTCCCTCTTCCTCCTGCGCCCCGAAACATCCCAGCAAACAGAGGTCCTCGGCCAGCTTCTCAAAAAGCCCGTTCTTCTTGAAGAAGTCACTGTTGACAGGGTCCAGGTGCAATGCTGCAGACAAGGCACAGAGGGTGTGCAGGACCAGGTCCAGGGTCTGGCTGGGGGACACCATCCCCCACGCCTGTAGCGGGGGCTCCTGGAGAGACCCCTCCAGGTCAGAGAGCAGGGACAGGAGTCCATTGAACCCACTGGACACTCTGAAAGCAGCACGGCCTTTGGGGGTGTCCAGGATCCTGAGTAGAGACTGAAACACCAACAGGATAAAAATGAGACAGGAGACAACTTGTTAACGCAGAGCCCTGACACATCCCTGCCAAAGCACTGCACCTGCTCTCGCCTGTTCAAGTGGTAGGAAATGCAAGCTACCTGAGGGTGATTCTGAAACAGGGGGAGGTCTATATTGTTCCTCCTCATTTTAGTTGCCCCTCAGTGCCTGCTTTCAAATGGCGGCTGCTAAAGCCTATGCTGATGTATAAGGTTGGTTTACTGTCCTGGATCTTAACTTCAATGTATCTCCCTCCAGAAAGCTCTCTTTGACCCCTGCCTTATCCTGACCCCAGGCCGAGAGCTCACATAGCCCCCTCTCATTTGTTGAACCCAGTTCTCTTCACACTTTACTGAAGTGACTTGAAAACTGTCTCAGCCCTCCACTAGATTGAAGCTCCGTGAAATCAGGCAACGCACTGCTGTGGAATGTAGCACGCACTTAATAAATATTTGCTGAATGAGTGGAACGAACCACCTCTTATATTGCAAAGGAGACCCACAATGCAATCTCTGTAAAGTAGTTTATTCTTTATCTCCCTCTCTGTGCAAACGTAAGTACCTCTATTAAGTGAAGAAAGAGAATGAGTCTACTTAAAATCTGGTGTGCAAATATGAAGGAATCAAGGTAGAGAAGAGAAGCATTTCATGGAAGGAAACATAAGTATAGTAAATAGAATAGACCACGTGTGGAGTTCAGGCTATGCGTAACATACATTACAGAATCGAACTTCTCCAGATCACTGAGATTTTACTGGACACATTTTTATTTCCTTCTAGCATCAAACATTTATTGAACCCTTACAGTGTGCCCTTCATTGAGTGCAGTGGTGGTGCACACTAGGTAGTTAACAAATGTTTCGAAGGGAAGGAAGGAAAGGAGGATGAAAGGAAGGGAGGAAGGGAGAAATAGAGGGAGGGAGGGAGAAAAGACTGCATTCAAGTAATTCTCATTCTGTGCTAAAGCTTCACACCTGAAAGTGAAGAATGTATGGATGATTTTAGATAAATATTAACAGCCTCTAGCTTTTGGTGTTTTCATATTTATTATTCATAGAAGTTGCTTGGGACTTCATCTGAGACCATCTTGCACATGCTTCCAAGAGAATGACCAATACTTGTGGTTTCATCAGCAGATTTTGGAGGAAGGTATAAATCGTTTTATCCTCTAATGCCCTAGTGACACAAGAAAGGGGATTTTCTGGGCAGGCACAATTTCAAGCCACTTCCAAGATGCTTGAGACAAGGTTCAAAGAAAAAAGTGAAAGGCAACTCCCAATTTAGTGTGTGTGTGTTGGGGGCTGATTCTGTGTCTTAAATGCCTGGTCTAGGGTGACAATATAGAGCATGATGTGCGGAAGTCAATGAACGAAGAGAAAACTGGTAGGTCAGGAAAATAAAAGGAGGGAAGGGACTAAATCTTCAAACTCTCATGGAGAGAAAGTCAAACAAAAACTTAGTGAAGTTTTAAGTAACCATTAAATATGAATTTCATGCACTTTGGGGGAAGAAAGTTAATTTTCCAGCTCTATCTTTAAAATGCTAGTAATCTTAATCCAATGCCATTGATGTGAAACAATATAACATGTATCCCTAACACCCAAATTTTCTTCTCTAATATTATATTCCTCTCCTCTTGGAGAGGAATATAATATTATTATATTATTATATTACTATATTACTATATTATATAGTATATATTACTATATATACTATATATACTGTACCCCGAAACATCCCAGCAAACAGAGGTCCTCGGCCAGCTTCTCAAAAAGCCCATTCTTTTTGAAGAAGATACATGTTATATTGTTTCATATATACTATATTATGTAGTATATATTACTATATTACTATATACTATATTACTGTATTATATATATGGAGAGCCGCCTGAGATGCTCAGTGGGCAGTCAACCCCATTTTGGGAGCAGGAGAACACAAAATGAGCCAGAACTACCTGAATGCACATGGCCAAGGACTCTTTCAAAGAGGAAGACAAAGGAGATGCTTAAAGTCCTCCACTGTCCCATCTATGACATTTCAAGATATTAAAAAAAATAAAAATAAAAATAAAGTTTGTAGTAAGTAGGAGAATCCATGAAAGGCCAGAGTCCATGCTTACATTCAAAATGGACAAAAAATTACAGAAAATAGAAAAAAGCATCCTTACCAATATGGGCCAATTGATCTTTTCCTGGTTATAGGAAAAGGAAATCCACAACTTATAGCGCTTAGCTCAATGATTACCCACCACAGCTCAGGGGAATGACTATGGGGAAACTGAATTGTCATTTTGTTTTTTGAAAGAAATTCAGCACCAGGGCCACCCACTAACAGGGGGTCAAATCAGAGTCATGGGAGAGACATCAGGGAAATAGGCTTTCCAAACTGCCAGAAAGATGGAGGCAAAAACGAAATATTAAGGATGAGGCGGTGACGATGGCTTTCTCTCTTCTCTTGGGTGAAGATATGGCCAAACTACTTCTGAATTTGGCTGAAACCCCAGGAAAAGTTGACTTTGTAGGCAGGTCCTTCAAAGAAGCATGTAGACTGTTAAAGCAGGTTCTCTAGAAGGGTGGTGTTCAGTGAGTGTGAAGCTTATGGTGTAGCAACAGTAAGACTTCTAGAAGGGCAAGGCCTTTCTCTGTATAGACAGCATCAGCACAGCTGCCTGCCCCCACAGCCTACCCATTGGACTCTGAGGCCAAGACAGGCCACACATAGACCTACTACATCTGTGCCGGCCTTGTGTAAGCAACTCACTCCCAACAGAATAGTATTTCTTCCACCAAGTTGGAAACATACTCTAACCTTGAAGTATGTGTGTTGCTACCGGCCTCTTCCCACCGACTGATAACCCACACGAAAGGATGAACACTGGGGTCTTGTACGGCGTGCATTGCTTTGTCTGCGTCTGACCTTATGCCTGGTCATGTGACTCATGCCGTGAAAAATAAATAAACCACCAAGATGGTGGGAAATCTTAAGCTCTAGGATGGTAAGCGATCTAAATTCATGTGAGTGCTTTCAGTGGCTCCTGAAACCACCAAGAGGTTGTTTAAGGTAAATGGATTGGATGAAGCTCTGCTGTTTATCACAAGGGCACATGACAAAACAAATATGAAAAATGGAGAATGATCAAAAAACAAACGAATCAAATTACAGGCAATTGTCTGAGCACTGGATGACCACTGAACTCCCCTCTTATTAAAGAAACTGCGTTCCAATCATCCAATTTGACAACAGACATTGCTCAAAAGGACTCCATCATTCCGAGTATCGAGAGCAGATACCGTTAAAACAGAGCAACCCAATGACGGTCCTTCTTATGATCTGTGTCTCTCAGAGGGTCTGTCCCCTGTAATTCCTACATGGCTCCTTTCTCCTCCTGTTGGGAGGGGGGAGGAGAAAGAAATGGCTGTCCTTAATTGTTGCTTTGTTTGATTTATTAAATTCGGAATCATTATCTAAAATGGGGGTAATCTCATTAGAACTTAGACTGCTCTATTATTTCTTGGGATGGGGTTAATTTCATATTTGCAGAGTCATAAAGTAAAGAGTCCAAAATCCAATTACAGAGGCTTAATTTCATAGCAACTAAAGAGAAACATTTCTATCATAAAGGAAAATAAATACTGCGTTACTTCGGGAAACGATTTGTCAGGAACTGGGGGCCTAGAACGAGGGTCTCCATTACTGTCATTCAACTTTGCATGATAATGCATCACCTAGGCTTGCGAGTCTGCGGAAGGGAGTAAATTTAATCAGCTGAAGTCAAAGTAATCAGGCTGGGGTTGACACATTTCAAGAAAGGTCAGCGTTAAGCACATTTTCTCCTCCTTAACTCAGTTACCATGTCATCGTCTCTGAGTTCGTATTCCTCCGGCTTGAATCTATAAAATGGATGTCTGCTGCAAAGCGCTAACTAGGTTAGGACTAACAGGATTTATTTCACATTCCATTATTTGTTATTCCTCATAATTTTCCATGTGTCACGCTGGAAGACTGGTGAGGTAATGTGATTAAGCACAGAGTTGAACAGCTAAATGTATATTAGCAAATCAATCTGAATTTGTGCATAACCGAATCATGGTCCCACTGGCAGTGGAGAGGAAATTCATTTGCCTACATTATTCTTTAACTCAATTGTCATTTGCCAGAATTAGGTGGTGAAGTCACAAGTGCTTGCGTATTGGTATGGAAGTGCCACTGGATTTTGGAAACCACTGCCCTAAGTTGGGTGTTTCTGGATGAATTTTCTTCTCCAAAGCAACTGGCTGACGGCCTCAGGGAAGGGAAGCGAGGGTCACACGTTGATGTGAATGCATGTCAAAGATGGCAAAGCTTTGGTGGGGGCAGAGGGTACTGCCTTTGAGGTCACCTCACTCCATCACCTCCCCCTCATCCTATGTCTGACTCGCTTTGCGGGCACAGTGCTTTGGGCAAAGTCCACGCTCAACTTAGAAAGAGGGAGATCTGGCCAGAAAGAGCTAATTTTACATCTTTGTTTCTAAAGTTCCAACAGATTCCCAAGATGCGGATTCTAGATTAGACTCCAGAAAACATCAAACATTGGCTAGTCGCTCACGTAACTCGGTGGTGGGCAAGTCGGGAACAACCCCATGTCCCCCCACTATGCATTGGAGCAACAAAGTGTCAATAGCCCACGTCCCGTGAGAGCATTAATAGCTCCACGCATCACCCCCCAACTTCCCAGCAGTGACATGGCACCTGGGAGAAGACAGCACATTGAACACAGGGTATGACTTTGTTAAATAAGCTTATACAGTGTTAATCCCTTGATAGTGTGATTCTGAAATGATATTGAATCTGTAAAACACCATAAAGGCTTCACATCGCTAATTCCAGAAATTCAGTCCTATTACCCAAGGGCTGACGCTCCACTAAGGTGCCTCTGGGCTGCAGAGTAAATAAGATGAACTTTCCACGAGCAAAGCAGAGTACACTTCTCTATAACGGACACAGAAACCCTTGTTCTCTCCAAGCAAAAAGTAAATCCAAAACTTTCCTCTCTGTGGGTCTGTCTGACTCTCAGTGTGAAAATCTCAGAAACAGATGGGGATTCCAATTTTCATCCCCTAGGAAACCAAAGTCCTGACTACTGGGGTCATGGTTTCTGTGTTGCTTATCAGAATAAGGCTCATGTGAATCAGGACGAAGACAGACATGTGAGGAAAAAAATGTAATAAGCAGCACAAAGAAAAGAGGAAGGCTCCTTAGATTTTAAGTCACTTGTCTAAGATTCAAACTCAACTCACAATTTATATTAGACACTTCCTGGACATGTTCCTGCCGGAATGTTAAGACTGGACCACGTGGGGGTGCCTGGGTGGCTCAGTTGGTTAAGCATCCAACTTCAGCTCAGGTCATGATCTTGCAGTTGGTGGGTTTGAGCCCGGCATCGGGCTCTGTGCTGACAGCTCAGAGCCTGGAGTCTGCTTCGAATTTTGTGTCTCCCTCTCTCTCTGCCTCTCCCCCACTTGCATTCTGTCTCTCTCTCTCTCAAAAATAAACATTAAAAAAATTAAAAAAAAAAAAAGATTGGACCACATGAAGCTAAAGTCCTTCCTAGCTGCAAATTGCCACTAATTCTTGCTATGTCTTTCCCTTAAGCTCCTTCACATGTGCCCCTCACTTCCTTTACCTCACATAATCATGAGACTCTAGGATCTTTCAAAAGACAGTTAACTTTTTGTTTCATAGAAGCCTGGTTTTATTTCATATAAAACTGATTTCTTTGGCTTTATAACTAAATCATTGTTTTGGTTCTTGTCATCTGTGAAATGCATGATAATTATGGTCATAATGTCACTTTTGGATGGGCTTCTCATGATGCTTTGGCCATGCCGAACCCTGCAGGCTCCGGACATGTGACTGATGGTGGGAACACATGTGTCTGATGGTCACATGACATGACTGGCTCTGCAGAGAGATAAGTCGGTAAAAGAAACCGAGCACTGTTCTCTAAGTATTAAAAGGGTTTTGTGCAGAAAGAGTCATGGCTAAGCAAGCCTGACAGTTTAATTCTGGAAGTCAGACCAACTCCATATTTTTTTTTTTTTAATTCACCAGTGATCAAGGTATGTATGTTACTGAGATATGTGTTTTGCATGGGGTTGTGTTGCATACATACGTGAGAGGTCCCCAAGTCAGCCTCCTGGGGGATATTTGCATTTACATCTGGTGGTGATGACATTCATTATCATTCTAATTGTTTTAAGATAATTTGATGATTATTAACAATACTACAAAAACCAAAACCTACACTCATCTTTGTTACCCACAAGTGACACCCTAGTTTCACTCCTCCCCTTTGTGTCCTCTGGGCCCATGCCTCTCCCTGCCTCTTCTTTCCTCTTCCCAGCTCAAACATCCTCCTCTGCAAGCCTTCCTCAACATGCAAGGCAGGATTGAGCTCTCCTACTCCTCTGCCCCCATGGCAGCCTGCACTCAGTACTTTCCAGGTCATTACCACACTGCACTGCCATGACCACTCACTCATCACGAGCCCTAGGCTATGAGCTCCCAGATGGCAAAGGCTATATCTCATTCAACTGTGTGTCCCAGGTTGGTAGAGGGTAGACACTAAATGCTGGTCAAGTAAACAAGGCAGCTGCTTGCCCCCTGTAGTCTGATTCAGACTACACTTCCACAGTTTACAGCGTTGCTGGGAAGACTACATTTCCCGGCACCCCTTGCATCCAAATGAGTTGTACCCAAAGGAAGTCAGACAGAAGTTAACGTGTGCCGGTTCCAGGCCGGCAGAACACTTGTGCAATTCTTTGTCTGCTGGCTGGATTCGATGCCCAGGTTCCCTGAATGGTTATCCCCTCCCATCAGAGATTGGACTATTCATAGGAAAGAAACTCCCCATGTGTGAGGCTACTGAGGACGTGGGATTTCTTTGTTACAGCAGCTAGTACTACCCTACCCGTATGATACCGTGACCAACTGAATGAGTGAACGTGCCTGCACATGTCGATCACCAGCTGCATGTCTGTGGGAAAACCCAGCACAAAGGAAGACTTGACATCACCTGCAGAAGATCCAGTTTCAGCTCCAGCTCCCCTTGAGTGGATGAGCACAAAGCGCCCACAATGATGCTCATGTACTCCTCAGCGTTGATGACGGAGAGCTGCTCCAAGATGCTGAGTGAGGCCTCTCGGTACCACTCAACGTCCAGGAAGATCTTGATGAAGGGCACCATGCCGTGGTCTTTCAGGACAACTGTGGACCAGACAGACAGTATGGGGCTAGAGCAAGGGAGCCTCGGCACCTTAGTTTTAACGACAAGCAAAGCTTTCTCCTGCAACATCCGAGTTTGTTTTGCTCCCTTTATACGTGTCTCCACGTTGTTCCATTAGAAACTCTTTTTTTTTTTTTCAAAACCCATACCCACTGTTAAAACTAGAAGAAAAGAGAGATAGTGGAGCTGAGAATTAAAAAAAAAAAAAAAACTAAACAGATAAATCAAAAAAAGAAACCTTGCCTTTTTATTCTATGAAATTTTTATTTTTGAAATTTTTTTTCAAAAAAACTTTCACTGCACTGGTCTTTTTTAAAAACCTACTACAAACTTTAACTAGACAACACTTCTGTCCGTTACTGCCACTTAATACCCTAAATCCAGGGCCAATGGCAATTCTCTCTCTTCTCTGCCAGAATTCTTACTGCAAACAAACCATAACTGAATCACATGTGGAATAAGAACTAGGAAGTAATTGGATCGTTCAAGTGGCATGATGTAGATTTGAGCAGGTCAACTCTGTGAGACAGGATTTCTCCAAGTATGGGTCAGGTACCCCTACATGGAAATCACCTTGGAAGGCTGTTTAAAAATAGATTTCTGTGCTCTATCTTGACTAGCTACTAATTTAACTCTCTGGGAGTCAGCCTAGGAATATGTTTTTTCTTTTTTTAATTTGAGAGACAGAGACAGAAAGAGACAGAGAGCATGCAAGTTTGAGACAGGGCAAGAGGGGGAGAGAGAGGATCTTAAGCAGGCCCCGCGTTCAGCACAGAGCCCTATGCAGGGCTCAATCCCACAACCTTGGGATCGTAACCTGAGCTGAAATCAAGAGTCACGTGTTCAACTGACTGAGCCATTCAAGTAGCCCTAGGAATATGCATTTTAACCAGCACCTCCAGGGAACCTTTTATAGTCTAACATTAAAGACCCTCTGCATATGAACTAATCATTCACATTTGGTACAGTTGATCTATAAGGGCCTCAGATAAAGACACCCCAAATCACCAAACTCACTGATGTCACTTTGTTAATACACCTACTTCGTAACATAATATTTATGTGTGTATAGTTAATGCACCTATTGAAAACTAAACAAAACAAAAACAAAAACAAAAACAAAAACAAAAACTTGGAAGCCGCATGATCTTAGGAAGCCAAAAATGTTTTAGATGGATGGAGCTACTGAGTCTATCATGGGCTGGAAGCTTATCAAATTAAGTCTCTTAAAAATGATTAGCTTTCTTTACTCATAGCTTTACAATTTGGATTTTTTTTTTAAAGCACGTTAGTTGGTGCAGCAGGATAGGAATAGGTTTTACTTGAAAGAGGAGGAGCATTCTGTGGTCTCATAAATTTAGGCTATCTCTTTAGGATATCTCTATCCCAACCTTAATTAGCAGCCTTAAAAGTAAAAGCCGTCAACCAAGATGTCTACAAATTTACTGACGATCACTGGACATCAACCAGCAAATGGACATTAGCCACAACCTTAGTGCTGGTTATTCCTTGGGTATAACCTTTGAGCACTGACATAAATCACTGGAGAGAGCTGATGTTTACCAAGCAGTGACAAGACAAGGTTAGTACCATCCTTACCTGCATTCCGAACTGAGCCTCTCAGAAGTGTGACTACAGTTCTCAGCATCACACAGGTCAGTTCTCTCTCTGGATCCTGAACACCAAGCGTGGACTCTTTGTTTCCTGGCATATTTAAGAACCAATAAATAAAATCTTCAGTATACATGGTATGATCTCAAATCTCTGGTTTCGTTAGTTTTCCATACTCGTAAGGAAATGAGAACATAATGCTTCTATTATAAATGAGTGTGCATCCTGATTCATAAGATCTAACCCTATAACCCCTTCCTTATACCATGGATCTCCAACTTGAGCACATTAAAATCCGCTGGAGGGCTTATTGAAATCCAGAAGCTGGAATTCTTCCCTAGAGTTTCTAGCATAGGAGGTCTTAGGTGGGGTCCTATAACTTCATTTTTCTTAAGTTCCCAGGTGATGCTGATGGAACTGCTCTGAGGACCACCCTTGAGAACCACCACCCTACATAATGTCTGAAGCCCCACCTCTTTGACTTTCTTTTGGACAGTTTTATACTTTGCCATTCATGCCTGGGAGGAAGGACCTGCCAGCTCACACCTGAGGGTAGACATGGTTGAGAGATTCTGGAGTGGATAAGTGTTTCCGTTAGATCCACGACGGCAAATCGGGCCTGTGTGTTCACTTATGAATCCCCGGTGCCAGAAAAGTGCCTGACACGAGCGGGAAGCTCCATCCATCTTTGGAAATGAATGAATGAATGAATGAATGAATGTACTTTATTAACCAGGAGGCAAGGTATCTAAGAAGAGTAAGAAACATTTAACAACAGAAAACATAAAGTAAGACCGGATACATCAGCTCACAAAAAAGTTCTGGGAATTGTGATAGGTCTGGGGATTGGATTGGAAAGCAAATTCAGTATCAGGCAGCTGAGAAGCAATACACAGGAAGGTAACACGAAAACATTAAACAAAAAGACCGTGCAAAGGGCAGTGGGAAAAAAGCACATAGCAAGATATTCTCCAAGGCCTGGCCCAGAGGCCCAGATGTGTAAAGACAGAAGCTCCTCATCTTCAATCTTGACCCTATTTGCAAATACTCCCAGGGAGATGTGAGTCCTTCCTGGCCTCCCCAAGGTGCCTGTCCATCTCAGTCCTCGATGCAGTAACACAGAAGCTACAGGGTTAAGACTAATGAACATTTTTGAGCACTTGAGCATTTCTTCTCCAGACACAGCAGTGAGACCTTTTCAGTATTTCTTCACTTAATTCTTACTACATCCCTAGGATGTAGATATTTTTGCACCCATTTAACAGAGGAAGAAACAGGCTCAGAGAGGTGAAGTAACTTGTTCAGGATCACTCAGCTCATAAGTAACACCCCCTCCAGGGCTGTCTGGTTCCAGTGCCCACACTCTCTCACTCAGCTTCTTCCCATCACACAGGCCCGGGGAGCAGACAGACTGATGACTTTAGCTTGAGTCTGAAGCCCAGTTCCAAAAGCAGCCGATGGCTAGAAGGCCCTCAGCCCCTCCCAGCCAGTGCAGTAGGAGAAAAGGCCATAAGGTGGGGAGAAGTAAGTGGCTGGACTCAGTGTCCTAATCCCTCCTCCAAACTGAAATCCCAGAGGTGCAGGTGCAAACAGAGTGAGGGAAAGCCAGGAAGAACTGGGAAAGGAGTTTTCATGCCCTGGCTCCTATCTGCAGGTTGATGGAGGTGGGGGTTATGGAGAAACCACACAGACCGGCCCCAGCAGGGCGTGTGCATGGGGGGTGGCTAGGCAGTGAGAGAGCCCGGGCCAGCACTCCCACCTGGATAGAAGGTACCCGGAAGACCCATAGGGGTAGCAGAGGCTGCTGAGGTTGAGAGCCCAAGGTAGGGGTGAAGGGACGTTGCCAAAGAGCCACAGGTGCACAGCCCAGCAGAGCACGCAAAAGCCGGACGAGACTTGGAGAGGGAAGCTGGACAGCACTGTTCACTGCTCTAAGCAGGAGACCATGGGGCCTGACAGCACTGAAAGGAGGCCGTGTACCAGATGAGCCCACACGTACACAGGTCCCTCACCCTCTGCCTGCCGGGGCCCCAGGCCTCCCCAAATTCCCTTGGCTTCCTGGTGTCTCCCCATCTACATACATCTACATAGCAGAGGGTGCAGGAGATATCTCTGCCAGCTGAGAATTCATCAGACCTGACTCAGCCCCATGAGTCTGTTTAAAGTTCCACCCATCCCTCTGGCTTCTTCATGGGGAAGATCAGTCCAGTTATAGCAAACAGAGAGGCCGCCTACCCTTCGAAGCCACATGCCCCAAGGGACCTTCTCCGACCCTCATGTTGCCGGGTGACCTGGGGACGCTCACTTTTTTCTGTTATGTTGATGGGGGGTGGAGTGGCACCCACCGGCCCAGCCTGTTCCCTCCAACCCTCCCGACGCTCTTGGGAGTCACCTGACTTCCTCAGGATCTTGGCCCGCTTCCGCAGCTGGGCCAGCAGCAGACCCAGGAGACCCGAGTCCCGGAAGATGTCGGTGAAAAGCAAGTCCCTGCCGGCTATCCTGAGGACACTCTGCAGGGCCACGAGGGCGCAGGGTGACTCGGGGCTCTCCTTGATCAAGCACTGCACCTTCCGCAGGATTTCATGGGGCACATAATGCAGCTCGAACACCAGGGCCTCCAGCAGCTGGAAGAATTGCTTTTGCACCGGGGCCGGCTTCAGGGGCACAATCTCCACGAACTGCGAGATGGGCTGCAGGGTCCACTCCAGCAGGAAGAAGTTGCGGGCGTTCCAGACCCACATGGTCCTGATGGCTGACAGGACCTTGGTGCAGAGGACAGGGTTGCTGGATTTGTGGAAAACATTCTGTAGGACTTGGAAGGCCTGAAGATTCTTAACGGTCACCCCTGGGGACAAAAGGAGGGTTAACCCTGCAGGTCATTTCTCCTGCCTGTGCCTAGAAATACACGGTGGCATTACCACTGGGAAATACCATTCGGTTTCTATTTTCCAGCAAGGCTGGAACTGCATTGTCCAAGATGCAGTGGCTCACCGAGCAATGGAAATGTGCCCACTCAACTGAAATGGTCCATGCGTGTAAAAATACACACTGGATTTCCAAGATACAGCACAAGGAAAAGAAGGCCAAAATAAATGCCATTAATACTTATTTATATTGACCCATATTGAAATGGCAATATTTTGGATATATTAGGTTAAATAAACTACATTATGAAAAAGAAACTATTTTTTCATATTTTTTTTTTTAAATATGGCTACTAGACCATTAAAAATTATGCAATACGTCTAGCGTTATTGGGCAGGGGTGGGCTGGAGGGTTGGTTTTAATCAGTTAAAAACAAATGATGTTGGGGTGCCTGGGTGGCTCAGTCAGTTAAGCATCTGACTTTGGCACAGGTCATGATCTCAAGACTCGTGAGTTCGAGCCCCGTGTCAGGCTCTGTGCTGACGGCTCAGAGCCTGGAGCCTGCTTCTGATTCTGTGTCTTCCTCTCTCTCTGCCCCTTCCCCACTCACACTCTGTCTCTCTTTCTTTCAAAAATAAATAAATATTAAAAAAAT